TTATTCGCTTGCTTGATCATGATCGAATGGTCGCCAAACTTTGCGGAAAGCTTTTCGGTTGCTGTGACCAGCCGGTCCATTCCTTGCTCGAGGTTATCTTGCCGCTTGGCGAGCAAGGCGGCCTGTCGATCTGCAACTGCCTGAGTAGAGGGGTCAGTGGATGGGTGTATATCAAGCGAAACTTGAATACATACGACTTGCTGCTGCATAGAGTTGGTAGAAGTAGCCACTAACGTGATAACTGCCAACAGAGTGCTTATATCCTGGCTGACCCGCTGCGATGCTTGCTCAACTTGCCCAAGCGAGGTCGCCTGTGCAAGGGCCATCTGAGAATTGCTATCGAGAGCATTGCTGACTAGGACGGACAGCAGCTGTTTGAGGTTTTCGGCGTGCTGGAGTCCGTCGTGGTAGGACTCCGAGGTTTTCTTGAGTGCCGAGTCAAGGTCCTTGAAGAGGTACTTTTCCACGCGCCCCAGCCCTTCGCTCAACCGGTAAATGTGTGGCGTGAGCTGTGCGAGCGCCTCAACAGACTGCCGGGCGCGATTGTCGAGGTCGTCCATGCGCTTCTGAAGCTCGGCCTCGACGCCGTCGGTGAGCTGGGAAATGACGCGGGTAAGTCGCTGATAGAGCAAAATGCTGCTAGCTACGAAACGGTCAGTCATGTACCACACGAGCCGGTCGAGGGCACTCACATTTCTCATTGTCGGCCCTTGCGGCTTCGCAAAATCGCACTGCCTTGTGGCGATAGCTAACCCAGGTGGTCCAGGCAGCATCCGATGCCGCCAGAGCCGAAGACAAAACCCAATCTCATGGGAGCTCACATGCAGTTGGGGTTCGTCTCGCATGGCAATCTGGCTTAGTGATGGCTCGCGAAACTTGGCGCACTCCTTGGGGATCGAGAAGCTACCGCGCTCCAGGTCGCAAATCGCCAGGCTCGCGGCGTACGAGTCGACGAAGTCGCGGATTTGCCGCCCGCTGTCGGTGAGAACGGTGGCATCGTTTTTGCCATCAACTAACTGGCAGTTGTTGACAAGAAGCCGTGCGGCCACGCGATGGCAGAGAGGCTCAGACTGAAGTTCTTCGAGCTCGTTCAACGCAACTGCGTAGATGTTGCGGAGCTGGGGAGCCTCAGGCGACCCGGAGGAATTATCTGAGCCTGCTGCGACTGCGGATGGTTAGTTTCTGCTGGGTTCGTTCCAAGGGAGAACTTGACACGACTTACGAGATGCGGCTTTCTTCTCGTTCCTCCAGGAAATACCCCAGATGCAAGGTGCCAAAAGGACGAGAAGAAACACGTGTACCCTCATGTTGACTGTATTTCTCGCCTCGTTATTGCTTTGTGCTAAGGTAACTCGTCGCAAGTGAGGTGATCTCGTCTCGTGAAACAAAGTATACCAGGGGTAGATAAAGAGTGCTGCTGATGCGGCTCTGGGAAGAGTAAGTGATGATGTGGGAAGAAGTTCAAAGATCTGGGTGCTGAAGGGGAATTAAATAGACCCAGCCTGGAGGAGGGGAAAGTTTGGCCAGAGGCCATGCCGCTGAAACGGGAAGGCGCATCTTGAATGGGGTGATGGGATGGCGAGGGTGCAGTAACTCTCGGCGGCGGTTCAAGCTTCTCGATGCTTATGTCGTCGTCTAGATTGTGGTTGTGAATTGCCCTGTAATGGGCCAATGGAAGATGGAACCATGGACAAGTGAGAGATAACAGCCGCCTAACACAATCCGGAACGGAAAAATTTGGCGCTGCACTGTGCGTGAAACACAACTTCATCTGAAAGCAAGGCATTGTTGATTAACTAGAATAGGAAAGGAGGTAAGATGAAGGACCATTTCGAAAACTCTTCAATAGAACCCCACCGCAGAGACCATGGCATTTCTTATGCAGAGGGAAGGTGCGGTGCGTTTGGTAAAGGAAGGGGACCAGACCGCATCGACTTTGGCTAACAAGAAGACAACAGAACCCTAGTAAAAAATACAAGGGCTTTAAAATTTTATAGTAATTTACGAGCAGGCTTATACCCTTACAAGGAGTTCCAGAATGAGAGATCCCCAACATATTTGGTGATAATGATGGAGGTTGAATCTTGGTGTTGAGGGTGCCCCGCAACCCCTGACCGCTGACTAAGATCGGGACCCACAGCCGGAAGCCAGCCGGCGCTCCCAGTGCCCGAACTTTTTTGAGCAAGACCGGGAGGGAGTGAGCATCAATTGTAACGATCCGATTGCAGCGTCGCGAGTTGCCAGTCCGCCGCCGCCCACAATGCTCGCACCAAGGACTGGGCGACAAGCCCTGCAACGGGCATTGGCTCCCAACTCCTCTTCGACCGTCACACTGCCGGCCTTCCTCGTCCCGGCTTTCCAGACAGCACGAACCTTCTCGGCGACGACACACCGGCCCTCCAAGCTTGGGAGGACGCCGCTCTCAGTACCACCCGGCGTAGACCTTGCGATTAGCGACCTGTTTATCAAGAAGGATATGACGTCGTACCTAAAGACGCACAAGCGGACGATCACAGTGACCGGGCCGTTGGGTGAGCAGCACGCTCTGGCAAGCCGTCGACCAGGGCGCTGATTTGTTGTAGGAACACTGGAGCTCGAGATCCCCGGCTATGTCAACATCGATCACGACGCCGCAGCAAGGAGGGTGGAGTTGAGCGTGAAGGACCGGGACGAGAGGAACCAGAGGGAGATGTGGGGTATGGACCGCCGTACCTACAACCAGCAATGCGATTAGAGCAGGGGCTAACAGACAGCTACAGGAACCACATGGTCGTACCTAAACAACTACATTATGGGTGTCTCGGAAGGGCATACGGCCGTCCTCCGTCTGGTTGGTATCGGTTACAGGGCAACGATCGAGCCCCGCCCCGCGAAGGCGGAATACCCCGATCAACAGTTCGTCTGCTTGAAGCTGGGCTTCTCGCATCCGGTGGAGATGGGCCTGCCCAAAGGCATGAAGGCTAGCGCGCCACAGCCGACCCGCGTACTCCTCGAGGGCATCGACAAGGAGCAGATCATGCAGTTCGCCGCCAAGATCCGCAGGTGGAGAGTGCCGGAGCCGTACAAGGGCAAGGGCATTTTCATCAACGACGAGACTATCAAGCTCAAGCAAAAGAAGATCAAATAGACGACTCGTGGGTCAGTCTTTGTATATCTAGCAATTCTTCCGCCGCCGGGTTTTGTCTGGCTGTATCTGTGCAATGAATATGTACATTATTTGGCACCGACCAGAGAGAGCCTATTTCAGCCCGAGCACCTCCTGGACGACGTCAAGAACTTGGCCGTGGACTGCGGCGGGCGCGGCAATCACGCCGCTGTTGCTAGCCAGCGTTCTGCCAACGCCGAAATCAAGACGCCGCCCCTTAGTGTCCGTGACTTGGCCGCCAGCCTCGCGGACGATCAGGTCGCCGCCCGCATGGTCCCAGATCTTCTCCTGGTAGGTCTTGGAAGTCGGCAGGCGCAGATAGATGTCGCCGGCGCCGCGAGCAATAGAGCCGTACTTGGCCTGCGAGTCCATCCTGACGCTGGGCTTCGTAATACCCAACTTCTGCGCAATCTGCGCCGACTCGGACTGGTTCGAGTGTCCCGCCTCCACACTCTCGCAGAAGCTCGCGCTCGCCATCTCAGTCACCTCCTTCATCTTGATGTTCTTCCCCTCCGTCAGCCCGCCCGTGCTCAACGGCCTGCTCGTGGCACCCTGCCCAATGACCGCCGAGAAGATCACACCGCGTCCCTCGTCATCCGACTGGTTCGCGCCAATATCCACCGTCAACGGCGCCGCATCATCAACCGGCAAGTTCGGGCACCCCAGCACACCCACCTTCACATCCCCATCCTCCAACAGCGCCAGCGCCAGCGCATACTGGCCACCCCTCAAAAACCCCTTCGTCCCATCAATCGGATCCAGCGTCCACACCCTGCCCACCCTCCCCCCCTCACTCCTCCCCAAATCCACCACCTCCAACAAATCCTCCACATCCCTGACCCCACCCCCCAACAACCCCTCCGCCTCCTCATCCTCCAACCTCGTCCCCTTGACCAACCCCCAAATCAACTCCCTCAACCCCGCATCCGCCCGCAGCTGCGCAGCCTCCTCCTCGGCGACGATGGCGTCGCCGGGGAAGTTGTGGCGCAGCGCGGCGATGATGAGCGCCTGCGCGCCAAAGTCGCCCACCGTCACGGGCGACGCGTCGTCCTTGGACACCGTGCCCTTGGCTTTTTCGTGGAAGACGCGCTTGGTGAGCAGCGCGGCGCGCTGCACGGCCAGCTGGGCGATCTCGAGTTCGCGGGCGTAGGGGGTGGTCATGGTGGTGGTTGGGATGGTGGTGGTGGTTGGAATGGTGGTGGTGGTTGTAATGGTGTGGTTGTGGTGGCGGGTGAGGTGGTTGAGGATGAGACCGAGGCGCCGGGGGATGGTGGTGGTGGTTGTGGTGAAGAGGATTGCCAGTGTGAGGATGAGGAGAGAGATGATGGAGAAAGGGTGTACTTTGAACTTGGGTCGGCTGCGAGTGGCGGCAGTTGGAGATTGTTGAGAGTTGATCATTCACTTAGCCGTGTCAGGTTAATTGATGGTATGTTGTCTTTATTAATCCCGATTGCAACTTGCTCCTGCTCGCCGTAGATTCCCCGCACTCCAAAAGTTGCGATGCGATTACGCTGACGTTGTTCGATGGTGGGGGTTGAGTGCTCCACAGCGGGCACCCGGACTTTCCAGAGCTCCAACCACATCAAATCACCAGCGGGCTTTGGAAAATTGGCTATTGAGGTTTTTTCCCCCTCGGTGACTCTGGAATGCGTGAAATAACCGCATGAGCTATTTAGTCATAGCTCCGACGAGTGCCTAGCGTGGGATGATGATTGATGTGAGCATACGAACGAACGCATGAGCGAGCTTGTCTCGAACCCAAGACAGAGGAGCAGAGCAGTTCCAGTTATGGACGCTCATTCACAAAAAGGACTCTGAAGATTAAAGAGTGGGCGAGGGAAGGGGGCAAAAAGAGTGGGATAACCAGGAATCGAACCTGGGTCCTCTCGGATCGCTGTGTTTAACCACAACGAGAAGTACTAACCACTATACTATTATCCCATTACTTACTTTAAGCTATGCCTAAAACATACTTATGACACCAGCATACCCGAGGTTTGCGAGCATTCAGATCCCACTTGATTTGACTGTTCAACAACGCCTGATCCATGAACCTGGCCGCATTTCTTGGCCTGCGCTCCCTAACATAAAAAGCATCGAGTACCGCGATGGAGAGCGACTCAGATAGCTTCACCTCGGTTTCATAGAGTGACTTCACCGATTCACTGAATAACCCTAGGCAACTGGTCATCCGATCCCGACATTTACGGAGTGAACTCGAGGGACACGGTGATCTCGGGCAAGTGGCATGCTCTCACACAGACGGTGGATATCTGCGCAGTGCCCATTTCGAACTACCTTACTCATCGAACAAGGGCCCATTCTGTAGGCTGGGAGGAGAAGAAGAAAATCGGAGGCGTGCAAGGCGCACAGGCATCAATACCGCTGGTTTACCTTCACTCTTACAGGTCAACCCATGTCGGCAATGGTTCAAGGGACATCCCCCCTTGCCTATTTAGACATGCCGCTATGGTAGCGCAATGTGTGATCTGTCATTCGATATTCAATTTGCAGGCGAAATGGGTTTATACCGAGAGTAACTCCCCCTCAATTAACGGTAACTGACGGTACTTGTGAAATTCTCACCCTGTCTACTCCGGCGCTTCCATCCACCTTACCACAGGTCGATGGCAGCTTACATGTATTCTTAGGCCTCGGCAGTGGCAGCCCCAACATTTGAGTTCGGTACGGGAACTTGATACTCCCTCTGGCCTTCGGTGCCCAGAAGAACGATGGCAGCGTCCTCCGAGAGGAAGCCCCGGGACTGGATCGTCTCGGCATCTCGGAGCTTCCAGAGCGCGGCAAGCGTGGCCGCGCCACAGGGCCCAATGCCTACGCCGGCCTCTTTCAGGAACTGAACAGCCTGGTGCGACTCGATGTCCGAGACAACCACGCTGATATCAACACCTGCCTGGAGATCCTTGAATGCTGCCATCGATACCGTACCGCAATTCAGCCCATCCATGATGCTGGCTTTGGATGTGTCTATTGGCACGGATCGTCCGGCCTTCAGGCTGTGGTGCAGACACGGCGCGGAATCGGGCTCGACGCTCATGACCCTGCATTGACGACCTTTGCCCTTGCAATGGGCAACAACAGCGTGCGCCAGGGACCCCACACCTACTGGGCTCACTATGAGGGTGGCCGCGTCGAGGCCTTGCTCGGAGAGCTGCTGGCTGACTTCTGTGAGCAGGGTCGAATAGCCTTCCACGATACATGCGGGGATTTGCTCATATCCCTCAAACGAATTGTCCTGGACCAGCAAACCGCCCTCTGTCGACGCTGCGGCGGAGAAGGCCTTCGATATGGCGTCGTCGTAGTGGGATTCGACAAGAATAACCTCGGCACCTTCTTGGGCGATGAGCTTGACGTCTGCTGGGCTGACGGTGCTGGGAAGGTAGATGTGGGCTGGCAGGTTGAGCATCTTGGCCATGGCTGCTACGGCTCGACCATGATTTCCTTCGGTGGCAGCGAAGAGAGCAATGCGGTTCTTATGTGCTGCTTGGGCCACGTCGGTGAGCGGCAAGTCTTGAGAGAGACCGAGCTGAGACACGAGGGCTCGATACGTGCCCCATGATGCACCGAGAATCTTGAAGGAGGGAAGGCCAAGTCTGTTGCTTTCATCTTTGAGGAAGACAGACTTGACGCCTAGCTTCTTCGCAACACCCTCCAACGGAATTAGAGGTGTTGGCGCGTATGAAGGTAGTTGCCGATGGAAGGTTTGAATCTGGGAGGTGTCTGCAGAGGGCGGCAACGGCGCGGTGCTCTGGTTGAAGAAGACGCTTTGGTCCGGGACCGTCATGATGCCGGGAGGTTTGGGGCGGAAACTGACTTTATGAGAAGGCAAGGTAAAGAGGGGGCTCAGAGGGGAAAGGATGAAGAGCCAAGCGCCGAAAGCCCTGTGTAATTGTCTCGTTCTAGGTGCAAAATGTAATCTTCGGGGCCTCCACGATCAATGAAACCAGATCCCATTTCTCTTGAAGTGCTTTCAGGCCAACCGTTGCAAAGTATTGGGCTTGTACTGCTACATGGATCCATCTCATGCGGAAACAAACTCACCCCACTTCACTCAATCGCCACATCTGGTTAGATACAGTACACCCCAAGAGTACCCACAGGCGCCGTATGGCCATGCACGCCCTTTGACTACGCGGTGTGTACCCTCGCACTATCTGTGACGGGCTGGGCCCTGTAGCTCCCAGCCCCTGAGAATTCCTTCCTCTACAGTGAAGCGTCATATCCGTCTCTTGCCCTGTTCCACACAACATTCGGCCAAAGTAACGTCTCTGAATACTACTTGGGCCTTGACTATCCGTATTTACTTGTCACAGGTCAGCTTGTAAGACCTGTACTCCGTGTTGCCCGTCCAAAGGCAGCCAAGCTGGTCCCTGTAAGCACCGCTGGCAGGGTAGTCATCGCACGTCGGGCCGGCAAAGGCCGTAACTAGGAATACGAATCAGCCGCTTATTCCGTGTGTGTGGGTGACAGTAAACAGGCAGGTCTTACTGCGGCAGCCATCGGCCAGCTCGTTCAGCTCCAAGGCACAAGTGTCGTCCGGAAGAGGGAAGCAGAGGCCCTCCCAAGCACGCTCCACGATGTTCATGCCCCAGGTATGGCCGCTTCCGGAACCGCATTCGGTGTTCCACGACTGGAAAAGCGCGCCCCGGTCATACTTCTTGGTCGGGGCGCTGGCGGTGCGGGTGACGAGGGAGAGGGAGGAGACGAATGCTGCCGTGAAACGCATGTTGTGGTGAGTGCTAGCTAGATCGGATGGGTTGGGTTGTGATGTGTTTGTGGAAGTCAAGAGTACTGAGCCTGTGTGGAGGGAGTGGAAGAGACCGAGACAAGCTCGAGCTTATATACCTGGTTTCATGAACGAAGACTCGTTTTTGAGTAGAAGCGAGAAAGCCATGCGAGATAATTACCAACGGACCATGAGAACATCAGTAGGATCACTTTTCACATTCCGCTTTCAGTATGTAATTCGCGAAGCCATCTCGACTTCGGAGAACCACGAGCCCTGATATTAACCAAATTAATTTCAGACCTACATTCTATAAAGTAGGGAAGGCTGCTCGCGAATCACTGGTGACGTCAGGATTCATGATCCAGGACAATGTTAGACTTCCAAGTGCCGGGTGTTGTTGGCGAACTTCAAACTGTAGCTCTGACTTAGGTTGTTGGTGTTGGGGACTGGAGGTCAGTCATGATGGTCATCCATCTATATGTAGTGACCGCCTCAGAAAGCACCAGGTTGCCGGCGCTCGAAGCTGCGAAAGGGCAGGTAAATTGTTACTGGACTAATAGGGGGAAGTGGAAAGTCAGAAGGTAGATTGTTATGAAGATGCCAGGTCGGGAGAATAGGGTCCGGTGGCGGGGGCGCCCACATGCTTGTCGGTAGCAATTCCCCCGGGACCGACCATGACATTAGGTTCACCGCTGTTGCTCCTCTTTGCTCAATCTACGGAAGGCCCAAACGGTCCGGTCCCCAGCCTGGATTTGGAAAGCGGAGGCGGGGGACTACTACCGAACAAGACGACCTTGGGGCGGCCTGATATAGCCCGGGCGTCAACGGTTAGAGGGCGGAACCTTCTTGGGACCCATTTGGCTACACCTCGTGTGCAGTGGCGTCGCAATGTAACTATAAAGCTGCAGGCTAGATGGGAGTGCATGAGATCGAGATCTCAAGTTCTAAAAGCCCAGTTAGAGACATGAGCCTTGGCCCTCCATTCCATTGGGCTCCAGGGCGCATCTTCTCGAGCTGCCGGCACTGGGCCTGCCCATGTTCCTCGGAGGGAGTGAATGGCTGCGCCGGGGTCTATGAAGGATACATGTGCAGTCTGGGAACCGGAAGAATAGGTTTGTGGTGACGAGGGTGGCTGGGTTGGTCATGCCGGAGAGCGGTAGGCGAGTGTACATTACACTTGAAGCTGTGACGGGCACCCCCCGTTGCCCTTTATGTCTGCCGCCGTCTTGGAGGCATACCAACTCAACGTCTCTTGTCCTAAATTTCTCGGCGAAACTGATTGCAAACCCACCTCCACCCTCACCTCCCCGCTCCTCCCACCTCCCAGCAGCTCCTACCGCAACCGAAACGTCTCCATATCCATACCCGTCTCAAACAGCCCCGACGCATCCTCCATCAGCCCCGGCACATACGCCTCACCCACAAAAAGCCTTGTATCCTCTCGCTTCGGATCCAGCCTCAGCACATATGGCGTCTCACCACCCTGCAAAATACACAGGAGATCGCCCGCCCTCGCCGTAGGCGGCACCATGGCAAAGTAGCATGACTCTTCGGTCACGGCGAAGCAGCGGTGCACGGCGTGGTCCTCCGCCGCCTGCAGCCATGCGGTTGGGTTTGGCTTGGTGGGCGCTGTTGCTGGCGTTGCCTCTCTGCTACTGGTGCTGGGAGGTTTCCAGTTGCGCGGGTCGTGTTTAGTGCTGAACGCGGCGGCGGGGAATAGTTTGGAGAGCACCGAGATGCCGGAAGCGTACGCCGTGTCGCTGGTGTTTGGGGATGGCGAAGAATTCGAAGGAGACGATATGTCATCGAAGAGCGCGTATGGGGCGAGAGTGTCCAGGAATGCCTTGAGGGTTGGGATGGAAGGGTCGTTCTGGTATGTCCCCTGGGTGGTCAACTTGGAGGGCTCGTGTTTGGACGGCTGACCGGGAACCGGCTTGGGAGGTCGGCAGAGGCGCCATGCAGCCTGGATAAGCTCCTTCTTGGGAGAGTCCGAGTTGAAACAGCTCGAGGTAAATCTGGCAGTTACCTTGTCGATAGTGTCAACCACGAGGCCATTGACCAACAGCGTCCTGTAGTTATCCTCGAATGAATCCTTTGTAATCCACGATTTGGGCGAGCCGGATGCTTGGTAGCGCCCGGGGCGACCTATGAGACTGTGGAATCTCCCTGCGTCCCATCGCGGGACCCAGCTCGG